GTGGAACGTGATATGGCAGCCCACTTTAATAAGAGCTTGTGTATGGAGGAGGCGGGTCTTAAGCAGGGCCTTCAAGGAAGTGTAGAATTTGGATTGGCCAAGTGAAATGAAGGAGGCATTCCAGACAGAGGGAACTCCTTGAGAAAGAGCACCAAAGCAAGATTGAACATGTAGAGAACCATAAAGAAAGCAACCTGACTGGAGTGGAGGGTTCATGTTGGTGAGTACCTAGAGATAACATCATTCTGTGATTGTTTTAACTTCCCAGCTAAAATATACATTCCTCTGGGGCTGAGTAAAATGCTGAGTACAGAGTAGGCATACTACCAACTGCCCACTTTGTACCTGATAAGTGAAGGGGACTGGTTAATGAAGAAATTTGAATTGAGAGGATGTGATCAGTAGGCAGCAGGAAACTATTATACTTACTCTTTAGCAGAAGATTGCTAGAATAAAAATATCATTTTTGTAAGATTAATTGAGGAAAAGTAATTAGGAAGGTGTGATAGTAGAAATTGGACTCATGAGTTGAGAGGGTCATAAGACTTAGTGCTGGAAGAGACTGTATAGGTCACCTGTTTCAATATCTTTAGTTTATAAAAAAAAAAAAGGAAACTGAGACATTGAGAAGTTGAATCACCTGCCTGAGGTTAGAAAGCTGTTAAGTAGCAGAGCTAGGATTAGAACCCAGGTCCTCTGATTGTAAATCCAGTGTTCTTTCTGCTACAGCATGCCTCTGAGCTTGTATTTTAAAGAGAAATCATAGCATTTTAGAGCTGGAGGGGAGCAGAAAGATCTTTGAGTCAAAGCTGATCATTTTCACAGATGAGAAAAGGTAGCATAGTCTGAGAAGAAGTATAAGATTGTAATGAAATCAGGATTTTAAAGTTTATAAAGTGCTTTCCTCAAACTCTGTGAGACAGGAACTGAAAATAATCCCCTCCCCCCATTTTCCAAATGGGGAAACTAAGCCCAAGAGATTAAATGATTTAGCCTGAGTCATGCAGATTGGAATTCAAACCCAATTCTTCTTCAGATATGGGGAACTACATAAGCAAAAACAAAGGACTGAGGGATGAACTAAATATACATGGAAAGTAATGATGACTGAAATGGAGGTGTGTAATAGAGAGTTGCAGAAAACGAAGCTGGGTAAGGAAGTGGGGGGGGGACTGGATTAAAGAATTTATTGTAGGTAATATTAAACATTAGGTGAAGTTTATATTTTGTATCACAAGGCTCTCCATTTTGTACCTGTAATAAGATTAGACTTGGTGGTCTTGAGATCAACATGTCTTCCTTTAAGGGATACTGGAAACCATTGTTATAAGATTAGGCCTGATGGTCTTGAGGCCATCATGACAGTTCTCCTCCCACCCTTCCAAACCTCCCCTTCCCCATTCCCCACCTTAAGGGAGGCTGTAAAGTTACAGACTGGCTAGAAAGAAAAGTACTGGCTAGAAATATCTCTATCTATACATACACACACACAACACATACATATACCTACACATATATGTATGTATGCATGTGTATGTGTATATATGTATGTATACATATATTGTATATAGTATATTAATAATAAATAATGTGATGTAGATATGTTTATATAATACAATAAATATAACTTATAAATAATATCTTAAAATAATAAACTTTTATTTGTGATTTATTATATTTATACTTACATATTTAATTGTATAGTATATTATTTATATTATATATTTATAATTGTATGTTTAATTTAATTATGTATTATATATTTTATATAAACAGATATCCATATTTATATTTATATGTCTATATATATTAGCTTAGTATTAGTATAGCTATATGCCAAAATATCTTTCTAACAGCTGCTCGTGTACCTGTGTATCCCCCAGAATTCCCTGTGTGCCCTGAATCTTGACATACAAATAAGCCAACTCCAGACAACCACTAAAATCAAGGTTTAAGTATCCCACTCTCAGAAGAGCCCTTTGGAGCACATCTCCTCTCCCTGGGAGCACACAACTCTTGTAGGACCAAGCCCTTGCATATGTATGGAACCATGTTTCTGTGCTCCCCAATTCAACACTACCCTTATGTGATTTTTAGTCCATGTTAGTGTGTATGTCTGAATTGTGTTTCAGATCCCCTTCACCTTCTCCTTTTCTCCCCTTTCTCCAATCTTCTTTATTGGTGGCCAATAAAATTAACTATTGAACTTGATCCCCAGTATTTTATGTATTATTCTCAGCATCTGAACTCATTAAGGTGTTTGTTTTCTCCAGAGTGTCTGGTTGGGCCATGGGCCTCCCCCTAGACATAAATTAGCTGTTCAGACAAGGATTTTACCTATATAAGAGATAGGCACAAGATAGGGACCTGGTGTTGAAGCCAATACATCCTGGATTCAACTCCTAATTCTGCAACATACTGGTTTTGTATCCTTGAGTCACATAACCTCACTGTACTCTAGGTAGCTCCCTAAGATAATTATTTGCAGAAAAAGTTCTGATCTGCTTTGGTAGAAGGAGTTTCCTTACCTGGGAGTTCCCAATTACAAGTCTGCATCAATATCCCACAACCATATGAAAGAATTCTCCAAATTACTAAAGGTAAAACAATTGCAAATCAAACATCTCTGAGGTCCCACCTCATACATAGTCAACTGGCAAAAATGATAAAAGAATGAAATAGCCAATGCCAGACATAGGAAATTCAGAAAGACTGGTACATAAATTTTCTTTGGATAAAGTAGTAAATTGTTCCAATCACTCTAGAAAATAATTTGGAATTATGCTTTTTTAAAAAGTAACCAAAATATCCATGCTCTTTGATTCAGAGATCCCACTGCCAAGAATATATTCTACAGAGATAAATTAAAGAATTGGAATTGGAAAGAATTGAAAACAAAGTACAGTAGATAACCATTGATTGGATAATAGCCAAACAAATTGTGTTACAAAAATATGAATGTAATATTACTGTGCCATAGCAACGAATATGAAAAATACAGTGAAGCATGGAAAGACAAATTTATGCAGAATAAAAGAAAATAGTATACATCATGACTACAACAATATGATAGAAAGGACAAAAACTCCTATATTTTATGGTTCATATGGAACTTCTTTAAATTTATAAGAATAAGAGCAATTGCCCATTTTATAAATGCTCAGTTCTCAAAAGAACAAGTATGAGCTATCAATAGCCATATGAAAAAAAATGCTCCAAATCACTGATAATTATACAAATGCAAATTAAAGAAACTCTGAGATTCTATCTAATGGTCATTAGATTGATAAAATTTATAAAAGAGAAAATGTCCATTGTTTTAGGAGCTGCAGGAAAATAGGCACATTAATACTTTATTTTTGAAGTGAATTGGTCAATTCTAGAATTGGTCATTCTAGAAAGGAATTTGGAACTATGCCCAAAAAAATCATTAAACTGTGTTTATCCTTTGACTTAACATTAGCAAAACCACTAGAAAAATTAAAGAAATAGGAAAAAGACTTATGTACAAAAAATATTTATAGCAGTACTTTTTATAAAGAGGTATTCATTTGGAGGAATTGATGACCAAATTGTGGTATTCAAATTAATGATGTTGTAAGAAATGATAAATTTGATGTTTGAGAGAAATCTAAGAAGATTTCTATGAAATTATGAACAGGTCAACAGAACCAGGAGAACAATTTATATGATAATAACATTGTAAAATATTTTGGAACACTTAACAATGCAGTGACCAACCAGGATTCCAAAGGACCTATGATGAAGAATGCTACCTATCTTCTGACAAAATGGTAATTGACTCAAAATGCAGATTCAGACATGTATACTTTTAGATGTGGTCAATATCAGAAATTCATTTTACTTGACTACGCATATTTGTTACAAGGATTTTGTTTTTCTCTTTCTTTGTCAATGTATTGGGAGTGGGAGGCAGAAAAAATAGGGTTTTACAAATTGAAAAAAAAATTTAAATGTTATTTTGTTCCAGAAGAAGAGATGAAAAATCCATCTCTGTCCTTTCATTGAAGAAGTTCATGGATATGCCTGTAGGAAATTGCAGATACTTTCAAACTCAGTTTATACATTGCTTCGTTTTTCTGAGTTGCTTTTTTTATTTTTTTGTTAGAAGAGATAACTTGTGAGGTAGTGGAAGAGGAGGAACGTATTTGGAAATGAAAAATGATACAAAACCAAAAATATTTTAGAAATTATAGAAAAAAGAAAAAAAGTTACCCTTCTTAACTAGCTGCCGTAACAACCTTAAGGAAAGTGTGCTGAGAATGAATGAGATGTAATAGAAAGAAAATCAGACCTTGCGTTGGCCTTGCTGAGTGACCTTGAACAAGTCACTTACCTTTTTGAGTGGGTTTCTGTTTCCTCACCTATGAAATTAGAGATTTGGTTTGTATGACCTCTAAAGTCCCCTCTGAGTTATGACTTTCTTATTCCATGAGATTGAGGTATTTCTTGAGGCTGATACTGTCTTTGTTATGTGATTCTTCCCTTCCATTTGCTTTTTTTTTCATTAAAAATATAATTAAAATAATATTGGTAGGCTAAAGATATAATATGGCTAGACAGAAATTTATCTTTTCATGTTCATTCTGTTCTTTGGGATAAAGCTATCAAATTACAGACAGCAGAGCCATTCAGATCTCAAGTTGCATATCTTCTCCTCCCTGGCAATATTCTTTTACTTGAATTGATTTAGAAAAAATTATGTGATTGCTCCATATTGTCATTTACTGTGGACATTGTTGAACAGTTTCCAACTAGTTCATTTTATTCTCTATGTGGGGTTCCTAATCTTAAAACACCAAGTCTTATTTTTTTTAATCTTTTCACAGGTGTAAAAGTTTGGGGTCATTTTCTTTTTAATTCAAGAATAGAGAACATTCCTTCATCACGTGTGAGAACCAGCTGACTTTCTATTAACCAGTATGAATCTATATATCACCACTTGCTCATGGGTGGTTTCTATGTTTTGGTCTGTACAGATTGAAGAAGTCCTGAAGATTGATGGAGGGCCATGCTATTCAAACAGCAGGCGTTGCTGAGACAGAAGCTCTTTGTGCTGGGAAGTCTTGCTATTGGAAGTCTTCTATATCTAGTTGCCAGAGTTGGGAGCTTGGATAGGTAGGTTGAATACACTATACCTACACACACACACACACACACACACACACTTCCATATACATATACATTTAATTGATATATGAATATATTTCACATGTGTATGTTCACATATATGTATTCTACCTATACATATACATGTATGGACATTCATGTGAATATGCGTGTATGCTATGAAGTCAATATTGATTTATGCTTCTATAGGATATCTTTTTAAGTGTATCCATTTGTTTTCTTTGTCCCAAATTCCCATGAAATATGCCTTCTGCAGTTCTGAATTTGATTGAACCTTCCTTTGAGGAAGCAAAGAAAAGAAAAAAGTTTCAAGTAGCCCCAAGCCCTGATATTTGTCCATATGCATTTGTATTCTGCAGGCACTGGCACTTGTTTGTAAAAGGAACATAAAACAGCATATGGTAAAAATGTAATTCCGTGAGCTCATTCTGGTCTGCGTGCATCTGTGTATTGACCTCTAGCCTTAGCAAAACAGTGATGATGTATTTATGTATCATCTTCTCCAAATTTATGAGTGGGCAATTAATGTGTTACCATAATAGTTAAAATTATGTATAAGCCTGCAAAGGAACTCGTCAAGTTTGAAAATCCTATTGTGCTTGAAAGACGGCTGCTGGCTTGGAGAATTTTAACTATGTTAATTAGCTCCAGCTTTCAATCAGGCTCTGAATGCACCAGGCGAGGTGCCTATCTCTCTGAGAGATTACCCTGAGAATCCTGGAAAATCCAAAGCGAAGAAATTAGTAGAGAGCAGGCAAACACTTGAAATGCTATCAGGGATGTGAGAGTCCCAGCACTACCAAATGGCTTCACACTGAACAAGTTTGGAAAGTCCTGGATTCTCAGTGATAGGGGAAGAACAGAGAAGCTAATTTCTGAAATGAGAATAAACCTAGAGAGACTGGGGTCCCCAAAGGTTAAGGAAATATTGGTTGGAATAGACAAGCTGTGCCTATCTCACTTCTTGCCTGTAAAATCCATTTCTTCCACTGGAAAGATTGAAGCTCTGAATTCCTGCTGCTTCCTCCACTAACCCAGCAGCCATTGTTACTGAAAATGCAGCCGGGCTTAAAATTGGTATGATAGCCAACTTTCAGCTTTCCTCCTCTAACCGGGGCCTGGAACCAGACCTATATGTCTGAGTCCTCAAATTCTAAGCAACAAATACTTTAAGATTATCCAGCCAGAGCAGAGGCTGAGATTCTTTTGAATTGTATACTGAGCCCTTTTGACAACTTAATTCCAAATTCCTAACGAGGCTCATCACTAATTAGAAACAAGTCATGGCTAGTGATCTTATGGGTTGCTAAGGGACAGTAGTTTCGCAAGCTGATGCTTGGCTACCAATAAAATAGCATAAACTGAAGGCTGCCTCTCTGGCTGCATCTTTTTTTTTCTTAGTATTAGCTGCTCCTAATAATTTGCCTTTTTTCCCCAGTCATTACTTCCTTCTTCTCTTTTTTTTTCTCCTTGATGCAAATAAATCTGATCTTTTTGTAAGGGTTTGCATTGCCCAGCAGGCTTCTCCAGAAATTCTCTGCTTGGAGACTTGGCCAGATTATGTCTAAACACTGAGAGTGGTGAAGTTTCTTGGAAAGCATCTATTACTTTCATGTCTGTCAGTAATCTAGATGACTACATCCCACATACATATACTATGAATATAAATATATAATGTTAAAGTACCTACATCTTGAAATATTTTCTTTTAATGAAATATAATACTGTGTAAGTGTCTTTCCCATGCCTTCTCAGTGAAAAGAATATCCATGCTGTTAAGCACTAACTGTTTTCTGTTTACAGATTGACCATAGTATTTACAGTCTGAAAAGGCTTTTGGGATCATCTGATCCAAACTTCTCATTTTTCAGATGATGAAACTGAGACAGAGAGATATGAAGTCATTTTTTCAAATTCATACAGATAGTTAGATATTAGCAAACTCAGGACTTAAATCTAGGCCTCTAACTTCAAATTTAGTGCTTTCCTTCCTATACCACACTCCCTGCTTACAGATAAAGGAAAGGCAAGCAAACCTGTAATGTTTATCTGTTAAGAGTAGCAATTAAAGGAAGGACAGTTCCACAGAGACTTTGCATTACCAGAGTGACTGGAAACTTCATTCAGTAGGATTTAATTAAATGGTCTCGTATGGATAACATTATCTCCTCTTGAAAAAGTGGCTTAACCTGATTTGTTAGATCAACTTGGGAAAATTAAGACTGAATTTCAGAAATGTACCATACCCTCAGGATGAGGCAATTATTAGATTATATAGGATCATTGGTTTAGAGCCGGAAGAAACTTTAGAGTCAGTCAGTCAATAATCACGTGTTTACTAGCCCAGATATTGTATTAATACTAGGAATACAAAGAAAGGCAAAAAACATGGTTCCTTCCTTCAAGGAGCTCACAGTCTAAAGTATGATACAAAATATAAACAACTATGTAAAAACAAAATGTATACAATGTAAATGGAAGATAAACTTAGAGGTAAGTAACTAGCAGGGGAAAGTTGGTGTGCGTGAATACTGGAAAACGCCTCTTGCAAAAGATAGGATTTGAAATGAGTCTTCAGGGAAGCCAGGGAAGTTAGGAGGCAAAGGTAAGAAGGAAGAGAGAATTCCAGGCATGGGGGATAGCCAGTGAAAAGGCACCAATTGAGCAATCACATGTCTTGTCCAAGGAATATAGAGTGGAGTAAAGTATAAAAAGACTGGAAAGATAGGAAGAGGCCAGGCTGTGACAGGCTTCAAAAGTCCTTTAGTAATTATCTAGTGATTTTAGTCCAACTGCCTCATTTTATAATTGTAGAAACCAAGGCCTACAAGACAAATTAACTAGCCCAAGATCACACAGGTGCAAAGAAGCAGGGTCAGGGTTTGGATCCATCTTTTGGCTTCAGATTCATTCCTTTTTCCACGTTATCACCAACATTTGCTGTACCTAGTGAAATTGTTGATCTGATCAATTTGTTTCACCAATCATTTGTAAAATATTTGTTATGTTCACTGCCTGGTGCTTCTCTGAGGAACATACTCAGTCTCTGTTCTGGAGAAGCTTAATCTAGTAGAGAGAGAGAGAAGAAACATGAACACAAATACCTATGCCGAAAAACAGGCTATGCTCAATGCATGGGAGCAGTATATGATAAAGTGTCAGGAAATCAGGTCATATCATCTCTTAACAGTGATCATCACCTCCTCCTTCAGCCAAGGTTCCTATTCAGTTTACAGAATTGCCTAAGCAGAAACTCTCCTTTTATACTCCATCCTTGTTATTAGTTTTGATTGGAAATATCAGCTAATAATAATAATAATAATACCCCACCATGTGACTGAAAAAACTCACATGTGGACTGAACCAGGTTAAGATGTAATTGGAAATGTTTAACAAAATAAGTAAAAATATAATAAAACATATAATATTATCTATATTCTATTAAATTTTTACTTATCAATTTACTTATCAATTATCTACAGCAGATTGCACCCTATTAATTTTAAAAATTACTAAGTTCTCCAGTACATGTAAATGTGACAGAGTTTTTATACTTAAAGCTAGGGACATGCAGAGATGTATATGACATTCTCTGCTTCTCTTTGTCTACTTACGTAAAGAGATCAAGAATTTTCTGCCCCCTCAATCCTGTGATTCAGTAAAGGGGACAGGGACAATTAGACTATAAGCTCTAAATCAATATGATTTCTTGATTGCAGGAGAGGTGAGGAGAGAAGGAAAAAAGGAAAAAAAGAAATTTACATGATAACTTCATTAGAATAGAAAGTTATGCATAATAGATTTGTAGTTTCATGTGCAATCATCTCTTTTATTATACTATTTTATGGAAATGTTTATTTTATTCCATAAATTAAAAATAAAGTAAATTTTTAAATTTTTTAAAGAAAGTGAGCTTAATTTCTCCTCTATGTTAGCTCTAAGTTTTTATTCACAAGCAGAAGAGACATGGAGCGATCTAGCTCTATCCTTGAACTAATTGACTCTGAATTTGCACAAGTGCTCAGTGAAACATGCTGCACTTGCTGTTGAAAGTTGAATGTGTTCTAATGTTCATAGTTTGGGGTTCAAGAGGCTTCATGGCAGTGAATAGAGATACAGCCTTGAAATCAAGAAGACTTCGGTACAAGTCCTGCCTCTGACACATACTCTATGTATCAACCTGGATGAGTCACTGAATCTAAGATGGCACATTGATTTAGTAAAACACATACTAACATTACCTATGTTGTATTATGTTTTTATTTATTTTGTTAAGTGTTTCCCAATTGCATCTTAACCTGGTTCAGTCCATACTCGTGAGTTTTGCAGTCGCTTGGGGGACCCAGGTTTGACACTTCTACTCTAGACTTCACTCTCTAAGATCGTGAGTTGGACAGAAAGAGAAAGAGCCAACCTGCATTGGTAAAGAGAGGTTTCTCACCCAAAATACCAATGAAATCACAGGTCCAATCAGTCAGCTAGAATCTATTAAGCTCCTACTGTGCTCCAGGCACTGTGCTAAATGCTGGGGATACAAAAAATGGCAAAAGACAGTCCTACCCTGAAGCAGCTTACAGTTCAATGGAGAAGCTTATAGTCTAATCGTCCCTGTCCCCTATACTGAATCACAGGATTGAGGGGACAGAAAATCCTTGATCTCTTTACGTAAGTAGACAAAGAGAAGCAGAGAATGTCATATACATCTCTGCATGTCCCTAGCTTTAAGTACAAAAACTCTGTCACATTTACATGTACTGGAGAACTTAGTAATTTTTAAAATTAATAGGGTGCAGTCTGCTGTAGATAATTGAAAGTGAGGTCCGGGACTGTTGTTTTGTTTTATTATTATTACTTTTTAATCAGATGTCCAAGCTTTTTAGAGTGTTCAAATGCCAAAGAAGTACAAGGAAATTGGGCATCCCAAAAACACTCATCAAAAGATTTTAAATCTGCCACCTTTGCACATTTTCCAAATGATGCTAACCAGCAAGCTGCTTAAAAAGCCATTAATATGACTAATGTTGTTTGCCCATCTTTCCCTGCAAGCGCAAGTATACTCTGTAGTCAATTAAGTGCTTGGTGAATAAACAAAAAAAATTTTAAGGAGCAATAATAAAAAAAGAAGGCTATCAATTATATGTGCTTTATTGAATGTTAGGTTCCCTAAAATAAAATTCCTCAAGCATATGCTCATTGTGGATTTCAGTGAGTTTTTGTTTTGTTTTTTGTGCTTTTAAAAGTCTTTGCTCACTCTATCTGTCTTGAAAACCAGAAAAATGAAGAGTTGATTGCAATGAGCGTCTTAAAGTCTCCATTTGTTGCTTGCAGACTACAACCCATTTGCCCAATTGAAGGTCGATTTGGAGCCCGCAGTCAGGCTGAGATCCCACTCCGGGCACTGCAATTCAAACGTGGCCTTCTCCACGAGTTCCGGAAGGGCAACGCTACCAAGGAGCAGATTCGACTCCACAATCTGGTCCAGGAACTCCCCAAAGCCATCATCATCGGGGTGAGGAAAGGAGGCACCAGAGCCCTGCTTGAGATGCTAAATCTCCATCCTGCTGTGGTCAAAGCCTCACAGGAAATCCACTTTTTTGATAATGATGAGAATTATGCCAAGGGCATTGAGTGGTACAGGAAGAAAATGCCATTTTCATATCCTCAACAAATCACCATTGAGAAGAGTCCTGCCTATTTTATCACAGAGGAGGTACCAGAAAGGATTTACAAAATGAACTCATCCATCAAGTTGCTGATCATTGTCAGGGAGCCCACAACAAGAGCTATTTCTGATTATACTCAGGTGCTAGAGGGGAAGGAGAGGAAGAATAAAACCTACTACAAATTTGAAAAGCTGGCAATAGACTCTAATACCTGTGAGGTGAACACTAAGTATAAGGCTGTGAGGACCAGCATCTATACAAAACATCTGGAAAGGTGGCTGAAATACTTTCCAATTGAGCAGTTTCACATAGTAGATGGAGATCGGCTCATTACAGAACCATGCCAGAACTCCAGTTAGTGGAGAAGTTCCTCAATCTTCCTCCCAGGATCAGTCAATACAATTTGTACTTCAATGCTACGAGGGGGTTTTACTGCCTGCGGTTTAACATTGTCTTTAACAAGTGCCTGGCAGGCAGCAAAGGACGCATTCATCCAGAGGTAGATCCCTCTGTAATTACCAAATTGCGCAAATTCTTTCACCCTTTCAATCAAAAATTCTACCAGATCACTGGGAGAACATTGAACTGGCCCTAAATGAGTATATCCTACAACACTGTGTGTTGCACCAAGAGGGACACAGTGTCTTCTTTAGATTCAAATATGCACTTTTCCAAAACACAGCTATCCAAGTCTTTTTTTTCACCCCATGAATACTTGTATATATGCAGTGTGTGACCAAATATACAGTGGGATCCATTTCTTTTTTCTACTGAGAAGTAAACTGAAAACAATTTAATCTCTACATAGTTGTATCATTTTTTAGGCTTTTTAGAGGAAAAAGAGGTGGCATTTGGGGGGTAGTAAATGAATTCAGCTCTTCTTCAAAGAGTTAGTCTTCCTTTGACGCAAAGTTTGTCACTTGCCATTTTCATAAATCTAAGCCAAATGATTAATACATGAGACTGTACAGCTGGTTGTGAAGCTTCTGGATAGGTCAGAAAGTATAGGATGAAGTATACATATGGTATGCATATTTCTAAGAGAATACTGGCTCTTTAATTCAGATGCTGAATTAGTGCCGTGAAACTGGGTCATACTGTTTTCATCTTATTTCCAAGAATGTCTTATCTCATAACAATTTGACATTGTTCCAAAGTTCCTGTGGTGAGTTTGCACTATTATTTTCTTGTATGGACTATTGTGTCACCTGTAGCATGTCAATCACTTGTCCAACAGTCCAATCTTTTGCCCTCTATGTTGTATGTCAGCAAAGAGAAATGTTGTGTACATAGTGTATATTGCCTGTAAATACTGGTTTCACAATAAGTAATTCTATTTTGTAAACTGAATATGGCTATTTAATTTATTGTGGAAATTAAATTTATTGTGGTATTTAAAATGCGAATGGATTAAAACGACTATATGTGAACTTTCTTTTCAATTTCTTTTCCCATACCTCCTGCTGGCTCCCTAGGCCATCAATGTGTGTCTGCAGATGAGAGGGTATAAGAAGTGTATATACTCTTTTTAATTTTTGTACCCTTGAGGAAACATATTTATGAAGTGAAGCAAAGTATATTTAAAAATCTCAGCCATCTGGATATCGGGTCTAATAACCATCTCAGAGAGCACTAGTGCTCATTAGCTACAACTTTGCAACAATTAATTCATTCCCTTGCATTTGCTTCCCCTGTGCTAGAAGAGCAACAAGGAACATGTGAATAGAACCCAGGCACAGTGTTAACAACAAAGCACTTTCCTGGATGCCCTAATCAAAGTCAGCCCAGCAGAGAGATTAGATCAAATAAGATGGGACCATTTCTGCACTCTGTTTAGACCAAAAGCTGCTGATGTTTCAGAAAGGAAGGCAGGATTTCAGTCCTCACTCTTTGAAATGAAAATATATTAGGCTGCTCAAAAATGATCAAGTTGTAGGCAGTGTAGTTATTACCAGCATCAACATATGGCTCATTTTTTCCATCCAGAGAAATGAATGCTAAATTGTGCATCTTACAAACATTAGACATACTGTATTATGCTTAAATATGTATCAGAAAAACAAGGAAAGAGGCATAAACAAAAACAAACTACATTTCCATAGTTTCAAAGTATCTTAGATTTAGAGTCAGAATGGATGATAGAGGCTCTAACTTCTTTCTTTTACAGATAAGGACACTGAGTCCCACAGAGTTCAAGTGACTCACCTGAGATTGTACAGGTAATAAGTGGCAGAGGAAGAATTTGAACCCAGGTCCTCAGACTCTAGCACTGGGACTCTTTTCCTTGCACAGTTATGCCTCTCTCAAAAGTTATGCAAGAATTGATGTTTTAGAAAATCATGGACCAATAGGACATTGGTAGGTGCTATAGAACTAAGTAAATTATAATGATGTCCTTCTAGGCTATAATAAGTTTGGAATTCCCCAAGGGATGTTGTTTGTCCTGTTCCATGATTTAACAATGTGCTTTTGTAAGTAAGCGGCTTTTCCATCTCTAGTGGTAATCCACATTGCTAGTCTAGTTGTGACATTTTAAATCATTTATGCAAGTTTAATTAACGGATGCTGTTCCTCTCAGGGTGAGAATAGACATGCCACTCAGAACACATATGTAAGGCTAAGGGCTCACACTATGTAGTCTGCTAGTAGGACTCAGAGGTCAGATTGCAAGATCTAAACTATAAGGATTTTTTTCTCTTGAGCCATAAACAAAGTCAAATTGAAGGAACAGAGAGCCAGATTCTTCCCATACATAAACACAGGAGAGTGGTTTTTGAGCATGGGAGCTTTCTCGGTGTTCTTTGTTTAATCAGGGAATCCATCTTTCATACTTCTAAACTCCACGAGTCATCCCCTTCCACGCCAAAAATAAAAAACAAAACCCAGCAGTTAGCTACCTGTTGCCACAACTATAAACGTTTTCAAAAGTTTGCTGGTAAATGCTTAAGAACCAGCTCTCTGGGTAAAAAAAAAAAAAGAAAAAAGAAAAAATGCAAGCATGACAAATTTTTAAGTTTAACCTGCGCTATTAACATGGTCTCCATCTCTTTCTTAAGTCTAAACAATCAACGAAACAAAAAAGATCGAGCTCTGGTTTGTAGTGTTTGTCAATTTCCAAGGTATAAATCCTCACACCGAAAATTTAATGATCAACCCTCAGGAGCCAGCAAGAGCTGACTCCAGCACACCCCTGATTTTTGATCCCCATATCATTTAATAGAGAAGCAATGTGGCATCATAGCTAGCAAATCAATCTTTTTTTTTTTTAGTGGACTATTTTATTTTATTTTTTTTTTTTTACAGGAATCACATTTTTTTTAAATTTTTTTTTCCATATGCTTTTGAGTTGGAAATTTTTTCTCCCTTTTTCTCCCCTCCCCACCCTCCCCAAGACGGCGCACAATCTGACATAGGCTTTACATTTACATACCCATTAAACATATTTTCACATTAGTGAAGTTGTAAGTAAAAATTAAAACCAATAGGAGGAACCATCAGAAACATGAAACAAAACTCAACTGAAGGTAAAAATAAGTGAGAGCGATTTGACTTCCACAATTCTTTCTTTGGATGTGGACAGCATTTTCCATCCCGAGGCCTCTGGAGATGTCTTAGATCCTCGTAATGCTGAGAAGGGTTCAGTTTAACATTCTTAGTCATTGCATAACATGGCTGCTATTGTATACAAAGTCCTCTTGGTTTTGCTCACTTCACTCAGCATCAGACCATATAAGTCTTCCCAGGTTTTTCTGAAGTCAGCCTGTTCATCATTTCTTATAGAACAATAGTATTCCATTACATTCATATACCACAACTTGCTCAGCCATTCCCCAATTGATGGGCATCCTCTCAATTTCCAATTCTTTGCCACCACAAAAAGAGCTGCTATGAATATTTTTGTATATGTGGGTCCTTTCTAGCAAATCAATCTTGAAGCCAGAACAGACTTTAGTTCAAGTCTTATCTCTGACACATACTTGCTGTGTGACCCTAGGCACTTCCTTCAATTTTTTGGTGCTCTCAGAAATCCCCTAAGACTATAAGTTGCAGAGAAGGTGCCAGCTTGGTTCATTAGAGGGAGTTTCTTCACTTGCACATTTCTTATAGCAATGAATCATAACATGAAATTTCATACTAGTAAAGTGAAGGTAAGAATATCATCTCAGTGAATTCCTTGTCATGGGAGGTCTTCAACAAGTGGGTCGGATGATCACTTGTGAGGAATTTTCTGAAAGGGATTCCTGTTCAGGTGTACGTTAGCCTAAATTGGTGGTGTCAAACTCAGAGAAATAGTGGCTCCAACTCCTCCATAAGACGATCCCTGCAGATTGCATATTGACTTAATTTTAAAATGTAATATTATCTATGTTTTATTGTATTTTTATTTATTTTGTTAAAAATTTCACAATTACATTTTAATCTGGTTTGGGCCACACTCATGAGATTTGCAGGCAAATGTGGCCCTCGTATTTGGCATTTCTCAACCAAATGCTGTCTAAGGTCTCCTCCAACTCTAAGATTCTTAAGTCTGTGAAACAACTACTTGAGTATAAATTAAACTTTTTGAAAATAGCATTCCCTCTTTGGGGCCACCAAGATGCTAGCTGAATCAGTTCTGTTTTTGATCTTGTTATTTCACAGAATCCTGCCATATAGTTGGAACATAGTTGGAACACTGGCCTCATTTGTGTGATCTGGGTGAATATCCAGTTTCACTTAAGACACAATCATATCCTTTTGCTCAGAAATTAAAACAAAGAGGAAAGATTAAACATATTCTGACTCATGTGGCATAAAGGCTCTAGAACCATAAAGGACCTTAAATGTCATCCAGTCCAACCCCCTTATTTTATAGGCTAGGAAACTGAGGCCCAGAGAAGGAAAGTGATTTGCTTCAAGTCACACAGGGAGTAAGTGGCACAGCTGGTCTTTTGACTCTAATTCTTATTACACTGTACCAAACTGCCTCCCCTCTTATTATCCACTAGAGATTTTCAGGATGCTCTAAATAAAGCAAAGCATTTCTCGCTAAGGATGAATTGGAATATAGATTCACAAAATTTATAGACAAACCTCAGTGAAACTTTCAAGTTATTATAACAGCATCCATAGGGAGATATGTAATAAGTTGCTGTTAAGGTCTGCTAAACAAGTCTCTCACATCTGTGTGACGCTAAGCATGTTATTTCACCTCATTGTGCCTCAGTTCCCTCGTCTGTAAAATAAAGAGGCTGAATTAGATGGTCTCTGTAGTCCCTTTAGCACTAAATCTATGAACAGAATCCTACAACCTACTTCGTAACCTTAAAAGACCTTGGAAACCATGTGACTGTGTACAAAATACCAAAAACATTAGATGAAAAGAAAAATTCAGAATCACACAATGTTAGAACCGGAGGAGACCTTAAACATGATCCAGGGGTTCTTAACCATGAATCTGTGAACTTGCTTCTTTAACATTTTAATAACTATTTCAATATAATTCAGTTTCCTTTGTAATCCTATTTGTTTGATTTATTTTAAAACGTTATAGGTGCTCACAGGATTTGCCAGAATGCCAAAGGGGTCCATGACCCTAAAAAAGATTAAGAATTTTGTGTCTAGTCCAAAGTTCTTTTATTGATAAGGAAACTAAGTCCCAGAGGGAAAAAAAAATGATATGCCCATACTGGGTGGTATAACCAGGGCTCAAATCCTACCTATGAATGAGTGTCTCCAAATCCAGTACTCTTTTTAATACACCAAACCAAGTCATCTATATGTTTTCAAATATCTATCTGACTCCTTTCCTTCACTATTTAAAAGATTGATTAGGCATTTTAGAGTTATAATCTATTAGACTTCCTCTAATCTGAAATAGGTTTGCCAGATAATAAAGGAAAGACAGGTAAATGGAACTGGTTTGATTATAGTGACAGCTTAAGGGAGAAAAATGACAAAATTATTTCTAAAAACTAAAAACAGCAGTTCTATCGGTTCTAGACTAAAATGCCAAGTTGAGTAACTCTCAAAATGAGTATCTCCTCATGAGAAACATATAAAGCAGCTTCTTAAATTGAGATGAAATTTTTAGTGTCATATTTTAACAGTGAAAAGGGTTTTTTTCCTTTTTTGCTGTTTTTTTTTATCTGCTCTTGCATTGTGATGGATGCTCAAGTGGTGTTACTTCCATTTGAAGGTGTCCATGATACGAGTTATAGTTTAAGCATTGTCAAAGGCTGGAGAATTAGAGATTATTCTAGATTGTGTTATTGTTCTATTGATTTTTATCTTTTCACATATTGAGCATTCATTATCTAAACAGGATAGGAACCATGTGTGTAGTTGTGGTTTGTCCATTCTTGAAGAGGACCATGACATCAGGAAGATGATGATATGACTTGCAATTGAATTGGATTTGAGTGAGAGAGAGCT